CTCCCCCCTCCCCCCTCCCCTCTAGAACCCTCAGTTTGTTTCTCAGAGTCCATCATCTCTCATGGTTCGTCTCCCCCTCCGATGTCCCCCCTTCATTTTTCCCTTTCTGCTTTTTTTTTGACAGACACTGAGAGAGGGAACACAAGCAGGGGGAGTGGGAGAGGGAGAAGCAGGCTTCCCATGGAGCAGGGAGCCCGATGCAGGGCTCGATCCCAGGACCCCAGGATCATGACCTGAGCTGAAGGCAGACGCTTAACGACTGAGCCACCCAGGCGCCCCCCCCTTTTTTCTTAACATATGTTGCGTTATTTGTTTCAGAAGTACAGATCTGTGATTCAACAGTCTTGCACAATTCACAGCACTCACCGTAGCACATACCCTCCCCAATGTCTATCACCCAGCCACCCCGTCCCTCCCACCCCCCACCACTCCAGCAACCCTCAGTTTGTTTCCTGAGATTAAGAATTCCTCCTATCAGTGAGGTCATATGATACATGTCCTTCTCTGATTGACTTATTTCACTCAGCATAACACCCTCCAGTTCCATCCACGTCGTTGCAAATGGCAAGATCTCATTCCTTTTGATGGCTGCATAATATTCCATTGTGTATATATACCACATCTTCTTTATCCATTCATCTGTCGATGGACATCTTGGCTCTTTCCACAGTTTGGCTACTGTGGACATTGCTGCTATAAACATCGGGGTACACATACCCCTTCGGATCCCTACATTTGTATCTTTGGGGTAAATACCCAGTAGTGCAATTGCTGGATCGTGTGGTAGCTCTATTTTCAACTGTTGGAGGAACCTCCATACTGTTTTCCAGAGTGGTTGCACCAGCTTGCATTCCCACCAACAGGGTAGGAGGGTTCCCCTTTCTCCACATCCCCGCCAACATCTGTCGTTTCCTGACTTGTTAATTTTAGCCATTCTGACGGGTGTGAGGTGGTGTCTCCCTATTTCAGCTGCCTTTTAAAATATGCTGACACAAACTTGTTCATCATAAGATGATTTTCTTAAGCTCTTCTGTTTTGGTAGTTATGATCTCATTTTCTTTTCAGATAGAATTTTTGTTTCTCTTAAAAATCAGTCTTCTGGACTTAACACCATAACTCATTTGTTTTGTCTTTCTTAGGTTTTATTGTTTTTAAAGATTTCATTCATTTATTTGAGAGGGAGAGAATGAGAGAGAGCACGAGAGGGAAGAGGGTCAGAGGGAGAAGCAGACTCCCTGCTGAGCGGGGAGCCCGATGCGGGACTCGATCCCGGGACTCCAGAATCATGACCTGAGCCGAAGGCAGTCGCTCAACCAACTGAGCCACCCAGGCGCCCTGCTCAGTGGATTTTTGCTGTTTCAAGTGAACCTGAATCTTATGTTTTGAAGCAAGGCTCTCTGTATACTTACGAGGTAAAGCTTTTTAATCTTACTGCTCAGATTTCCATTTTTTTCCCCCCTGCTCTGTCAGACTCTGATAGAGGGTGAGAATCTTTCCAGGAATGTAGTTGTCAGTTTCTTCGTCTACTTGTCTCCTCTTGCTTTATGTATTCTGAGGTTCTTGCAAGTTGCAAATAAGCTCATATTTATGATTTCTTCATAGTGGATACTTTATTTTTTTCCTTTTTATTTCTCTTCTGCTTTCTGGTGGCTGAGTATAAGTGTTCTCTCTTTTCCTCTTTTTGCTCATTTGGAACTGGTGTCCATTTTTATTATTTTAGAGGTTACGCTTACATTTTTAGCATTCATTCTTAACTATGTCAATGTTCCTTACCAAGACTGTAGGGATTCACTCGTCTCCTTTCCCTGTGTGACAAGGATCTTCACACATTTATGCTGACTGAGCACCCACCACTGCACCTTATTATTTATTGTTACACAGTTTTAGTTTTACTATTAAAAAATTAACACTTTTAGTCATTTGTTAACACATCTATTTGGTGCATTTTAGTAGCCTCTGTGGCTCCGGTTTCTTCTGCATTGCCTTCCCTCTGAGTTCATTTTTATTCTTGCCTGGAATTGCACTTTCTGGTTGGCAAACCCTCATGTAGGTTGGTTTTTACGTCAGGAAATACCTCTTTGTCCTTCAAATAGCAGGCATACAATTCTAGGTTATTTTCCCTCATCTCTTTGGGACTATTACTCTCTTGTGACCTGGCTTTTCTTGTAGGAAGCATTGGTAGCATTAGAAAGTTTTTTCATTTTCCTTGAGTTGTGTTACTAACAGGTCTCTGTCATGGTAGAGTCTACTTAAAAGTTGAAACTCAGTGTATGCTTTTCATCTAAAAGGTGATGTCTTTCTTTAGTTCTGGAAACCTCTCCACTTCATTGTTTCAAAGAGCTTCTCGGGGCGCCTGGGTGGCTCAGTCGGTGAAGCGTCTGCCTTCAGCTCAGGTCATGTTCCCAGCGTCCTGGGACGGAGTCCCGCATCCGGCTCCCTGCTCAGTGGGGAGCCTGCTTCTCCCTCTCCCTCTACCTGCAGCTCCCCCTGCTTGTGCTGTCAAATGAATAAATAAAATCTTTAAAAAACAAACAAAAAAGCCCCCAAACCAAACAGAGCTTCTATAGTCTGCATTCTCAGCTTCTGGAACTCCTGCCATGTTGGAGTACCTCTGATTTCCCTTCATGTCTCCTGAGGGCACGGTGAGTATTTGTTACATCTTCAGGCTCTCTGTAGAGCATTCAGGGTGACTTCAAATAACTGTCTCTGTGTCCACAGTCTCTCTTCTGTTGTCTAGTTTAGCCACTCAAGTTTATTACATTCATGGATGGATTTTCCCTCGATTACTGCTTAATATTCGAGATTTTCCCCCTCTACAAAGTTGGCCCTGGTAGTGCCTCCCATGGGGTGCAGCCTGTAAGTTATGTTGCACCTTATCAGAAACCCAAGAAGCCGTCAAAGGATATGGCAAGATGACAAACCAGAAATATCGAGCCTGTTCAGTCAGGGAGAGCAGTGCTGGGCAGGCAAGCGTGAGGAGAGCTCGCTGCTGGTCTCGTGGAGTGGCACGTTCTCATGGTTAGGGTGATACCGCCCATAGCAGCACAGATTTATTGTATCAGCACATCCGCTGGACAATAGGACATCTGCCACTGCGGGGCCCAGTTTAGGCTACAGGGGAATGGGACAATCCGGCCCATCCACCTCGTTGGAACCCCAACACCGAAAGCTAAAGGTCCTGTCAGAGTACCCTGTGTGGGAATACTCCTCCAGGCGCCCTCAGGTAAGCCTGGCCCAGAGTCATGGGATCATGGGAGGGAAAGGCGGAGCCCCAGCTGCCCACACTGACTTCCTGGTCTCCTGCAGGTACCAGGCTTTCAGGGAAGATGATGGGCAGAGTTCCCCGACCTACTGGAATCTTCTGGCCATCCGCCTGGCTTTCATCATTGTGTTTGAGGTTAGCCAGGTTCCCAGTTCCCCAGTTGGCTTCTCCTACTGCCCTCTGCCCTGAGGACGCCTTGCCAGATCCACCATGTGGTGTGCAGGTGTCGGGGGGGTGGGGGGTGCAGACACGCCATCACCTGGTCACACCATAGCTCTCCTGCGCACGGTTTCTCCCCATCTTGGGAACGGTCAATCCCTGCCTGGCCTCTGTCTCTGGTCGCTGCAGAGCGTCCCGGGAGGCTCCCCAGGGTCCCAGAACCTGGGACAGGTCTCTGTAGCCATCGCTCCCGCCTGCTCTGGGGGTTTCCTCGGCTACACTGCGATTCTCCAGCTCAGCCCACAGATGGGGAGCAGGTGCCCACACCCGGCCCTGTGCAGGCCACTCTAGGCATCTGTCCCACAGAGGGCGGGTGTCTTCTGCCGCTGCTCCGTGTCCTGCCCCCAGCACGTGGTGTTCTCCATTGGCCGGGTCCTCGACCTCCTGGTGCCCGACATTGCTGAGTCTGTGGAGGTCAAAGTGAAGCGGGAATACTACCTGGCCAAGCAGGCACTGACTGAGAATGAGGTGAGCCCCTCCGCCTCCCCCACCTCTCCTGTGTCACCTTCCCTTGTCCAGCAGTGGCATGGCGCCCGGCCCGGTGCTCTGCCGTGGCACGTGACAGACCACGGTCAGTCCCGTCACTCCCTCCTGCACCCTTTCCTGGGGACAGGCTCTCTCTGGAACAAACTGACAAAGGACAGCAGCTCCCTGGACTTGGAGAGGAGTCTGGGCCCACAGCTTACACCACCAGGAGTCAGCCATGCCTGACCCGTCCCCTCCCTCTGAGGTCACAGGGGTCACCTCAAGTTGGCAGTCCCACCTGGAGGGCAGGGACTCCGAGGCCCCAGAGCTATCAAAGGCTCACTGCCCTCTAGAGGCCACAGCTCATCTCCTGCCCCTTCTTGGCCCAGAGCGCTGTGCCCTCAGTGACCCTGGGTCTCCCAGGTGCTGGCTGGGGGCCCCCAAGCCCAGCTGACTGCAGCAGCAACTGCTGGAGCTGCTCCCTGCCATGTCTCTCCCAGCCCCAAGGGCAGGTGGCTCCTCTCACCCCTGCTCAGGGCCCACTGCCTGCTTCCCTCCCAGCCCCTCACCTGTCTGCTCTCAGGGAACCGATCTACCTCCCACATATGCCAGCTGGGAGAATCACACCAGAGACTAGAACTATCCATGGATATCCAGTTACCACTCAAGAGCATGTAGAAGACACCCCTGGTTCCACAGGACCAAAAAAAGACATGCCGCATGACAAAATGAGTTCTAGCACACTATATCTGGTTTCGGGTTTTATTTTAGAATTTATAAAATTCCAGTGTCATCCATATTCATAAGCCTTTACACATGTTTGCATATAATCTCCAGATTCCAAAATTAAGGCCAAGGGACGGATCATAGCTATGGAAACACATGATATGGAAGACATTCAACAAAGGAAATGGACACGCACACCCCATCCTGCCCAGGGCTGTCCCAGCAGCGGGGGTGGCTGCAGGAGACCAGGCCTGGGCAGGGTCACCAAGCAATCTTTAGTAACCACCACCACCAACAGAGCACACGAGATCCCAAGTACAGTTTAGGGAAGGGGGGGCGGTTTGCATCTACAACATTTAGCAATAAATGCAAATGTGCAAAAACCTGTTGTGAAAATTTAAAACTTACCCCTAGGGAAGGGCAGGGGTGGGGGTGGTGGAAGGGTGCTGTAGAAGGACAAAGGGGAGAGGGGCTGGGCTCGACGCCATGGGAGTTGGAAGGGCGGACGGAGAGAGCAAGATGGCCGCGGGGAAGGCTCCAAGCCTCATGCAGACAGAGAGGAGGGGCCCTTTCCCAATCAGGCTCCCCGAGAGATGGAGGGGGTGCGCCTGGAGAAAGGCAAGGCAGCGCCGCCCCTCCTCCCCCCGTCTCCTCACCGGGCCTGCTCTGGGGTCACCCGGCCTGTCCGCTCAGGTGTGCGTTCTCTCCCACCCCAGTCTATGGCTCCTAGAGACGGCCACACTGCAGGCTGCCCTGGACGGGAGCTTGTGAAGGCAGCTTGAGGTACACTTGTCAAGCGATTCTCAGTCTACTCAGAATTCCAGAGTCGGAAGGTCACCGAGCTTCAGTTAATGGAGCTCGAGAGTGAAGGATGGGGGCAGGGGGGTGGCGGAGGCTGTGTGCAGGACACACATGTCAGACACATGTCTGGCCCCCAGGAACTCCAGCATCTCGGGGTGGAACAACATGAGAAGGCCCAGTCACCTCTGTGGGGGCAGAGGCAGGGACAGGGAAGCTAGACGGCAAGACAGAGCGCCCGTCATCGTTCCTACACGACATGGCACACAGGCACCTCCGCACTGCCCGGGACCCCCTTTCCTCTCCAGAGCGGACCTTCAACAATCGGGGGGGCACTTTGTCTCGCCAAGGCCTGTGGTCCAACACCCACAGTCACCCACCACGCACCTGAGACAGAGCAGACCCTCCCTTACCACCAGCCGGTCCTCTGGGCCAGGCCAACTGACCACCTCTCCCCACCCCAGGACTACGAAGCCTGCCTCACCAAGCCAACTCCGGGAGCCGGCACACACAGCATCCGGGCGTGTGTGAGGAGGACAGCCCGGGTGAGCCCCAGCGCTGCAGCAAACATGCCACCACCAAAACCCTCTAAAGAGCGCTGGGGGTGGCACTCCCCTCAGCATGGGACCACGCCACACTGGCTCTGAGGTAGAAAGGAGGCGACTCAACACCTGGTCATCTGTGGGGGTGGGCACGAGGGAGGAGTGGATGGTCCACCCCGTGCTCTGCGGGCCTCCCCTCCCGTCCCCACATCGCTCAGGCCACACCAGGCCACCAGGCCAGCCACAGTGGACCCAGATGGAGCCTTGCAGCTTTGCCCTCAGGCTTCGCTCACCAGACTTGGGGTCTCCAGCGCCGTGTGGTGCAGGGGTAGAGACACTCGGTGCTTTCGGACCCCAACATGTGTAAAGCCAAGACCGCCTGAGAACCTGGGTCACCCTTCTCTGCCTTTCCGGTCCCCTCTGGCTCCACCGCGGCTCTCCTCTGGGTCCAGGCGCTCCCAGTGCACACACCGGGTCTGCCTCCCCACCCTGTGGTCTGGGCTAAGTGGGCTTTTTGGCAGCTGGAAGAAGGTGGATTGCATTCGACAAGGAGGGTCTGGACGGCAGGCAGAGGGAGGAAAGGAGGTGGGAAAGGAAGAGGGCAAACGTTTTGGCTTTTATAAAGTCAAGGAAATTTATTTCCTGAGGTCATGACACAGGAAGTAGACTCAGCCACAGCTGTGCAGCTCTCATAGCGGAGGCCAGAGCCTTGCTGACATGCCGGATGAGCCGGGACGCTTATAGGGAAGTGTCCAATTACCTCTGTCAGTGTTCCCAACAGTGGGGAGCCGTCCCAGAGCCAAGGCGTCAGGGAGCAGACCCTGAGCGCACGCAGGGTGCTGGCACGCCCGGCTTCACTGCGAGACCTCGGGGAGGGGAGGCGTCAATTTATGGAGGGTCCAGCTGCTGGGTCAGACTGAAACAAACCATGTGTGCTGGGGCTTGGGGCAGCAGGCTGGAGAGGTTTCTGCTTTTTGATCATTATCGTTTGGGGCCCCATGGGAGGGTCTTGGGGGCCACCTGAGCCCCAAAGCTGGGAAATTCTTCAGAGCTGCTCATATCAGGGGCCTGTAGGGGGAAAGAGTGCACAGCTTTAGTAAGGGGCTCCCACCTGAGCAGCTTCCCAAATGGAGAAGTAAGTGCCGCTCGCAGGTGCTCCCCCCTCCCAGGGCACATGGAGGGTCACAACAGCATCTGACCTTCTCACTGCTGTTCGCGGTCCAGGGAGCGTCCCGGACCACAAAGCCCTTGGATGGCGCTTTGGACTCCTCGTGGGCCGGCGGCTTCATGTACAGCTGCAGGGCCTCGCTGTCGACCACGTCAGCCAGCTGTAGGCACAGGCGGGGGGTGGGGGTTGGGGGGGTGTCAGTCTGCAGCAGGCATGCACAACGACCAGGCTCGCTCAGGGGAGACCCTACACCCGCATGCCCCTGGGAGCAAATGCACATGGCCTTGCTGTCATCCCCGGCCAGTCAGAGGCAGGGTGTCCCGGGTACAGACATGCTGCCCAACCACAACTCACGTATTCCTCCTCTAAGTTGAGGATGTGGTCGATAGCTTCTTCCACATTCTCTGGGAGCCCCGTCACGGTGACGCAGTTGGGGTCTGGGGCTCCACTCTGCGGGAAGCGAATGTCCACCTGGAAGGAGCACACACAGCAGCTGGAGGTGGCTGGAAGCCCTCCACCTGGGGTCTCTGAACCAGAGGCTCATGGTTATGCATGGCTGGGAATGGTGGATTTCTAGTGAAGTTTTCCCAAGTTAACCTTGTTTTCAGGAGGCAAAGGCCCTGTACGTCAGAGCTAAGCACAACATGACAGATACAGAAGCCACTGGTGCACTGTGGGGGAGCCCCTCCTGCGGCCGGCCAGTGCAGGACACCGTCCAATGCTATCAACGGCACACGGCTGTGCCCTCCGCACTGCCTCACCAACTTAGGGACAGGCACCCGAGCGTCAGAGGTCTCCTTTCCAAACCCTAAGTGAGGTCGGCAGCTGAGGCAGGAAGACCTGAGGCCCTCCACTAGCCCGTGTGGAAGGAAGTGCCCTGCCAGAGCAGGAAGCACACACCCCATCGCACCCACTGTGCCTCCAGGACTTAATGACACCCCTCCACGGCTGGGTTGGGGACCCACCTTGAATTCATCCATTATTTTGCGGATGGCTTTGCCGCGGGCGCCAATGATGCGGGCGTGAACACGGTGGTCCAGTGGGACATCCTCAGAAACCATCTGTTCAAGTTCACCCACAATTTTCAATATGGCGTCCCGGGCAGCTTCTGTATTCTTTTCATACCCTGTGATGGTAATTTGGTCCTGGGGCTGAGAAAGGAAAAACTGGTCAGAAGAGGGGACGCCCCCAGAAATTCCAGCTGGGAGCCCCAACCCAGCAGACAAGATCTGTGAGAGGACGAGAGGCAGCACTGGCTGAGTGAGGCAGGCCTCACCTTGAGGGTAAACACTGACCCGCTCAGAACCGAAAAAAGCTAGAAAAGAACGTCAGGTGCTGATTTAACACAGGTCAACAACGCCTATTAGCTCCTGCCCACTCCCGTCCCACCCCCACCAAAAAGACACGTACAGGAAAAGAAAGGGCATCTGCACAGAGACAGCTACAGGAGGGGGCACAGTGTTGGTGACCCTGGGCCCTGCATCTGGAGGTGTCCTGGAGACAGACCGACCTGGAGAGAAGGTTCCAGACACCATGGCCAGCACTCCATAGCCATAGTGCGCCCCAGCCTAGGGCCTCCCTCCTACATGCACACGGACAGACAAGCGCACCACATCTGTAGAGACACGACTCGAGGCATAAGGGACACGTGAACACAAAGTCACATCCATAAACCGCGTTCGTTAACATACTAACCCTAAACAAGAGCAACGGACAAAGGACCGGAGAGCAGAAACACTGGGAGACAAAGCAAAGAGCACAAACTTCGAGACCTGCCCAGGAGAGAGGACAGAAAGACCACAGGAGACCACAGAGCAGCAGCTAGTCCCGATGCCCAGGACCTGCCACCTGCTGACGAGCGCCTCACCAAACACCAAGACCAGAACACTTCGCCAACAGAAGCATGACCCTCACCGGAAAAGGCTGTGTATGAAGAAAATGTGGCCACCCGACCCTCTTCAGCTCGTGAAATATTAACCAGTGGTCTGAACACCAAATAACGACTAAAAACG